GCCCATGATTCTACTGACACCACGTTGTAACCAAAGAAATTAAGCAAGCAGAGATTAACATGAACAAAGATTTCTTTATGGTCTTAGTCCATGTACATTTTTTATAGAAATAAAAAAACTAATAGCACACTGATTTTTTTTATTGCAACACTATGGGCACAGCTGAGGTCAATAAAAAATATTCAGTGTTTTTAGTTTTCTGTTAAAAGCAAGTTTGATCATTATTCAGTTTTTATTCTAGCTATCCACAGCCCCTGCTTCCAATCATGGCTTCTACTGTGTCACCAGCTCTCAGTTCTGTGCTTCCTCATTTCATTGCCACCTAGTGGAAAACCGAGCTGAGGTTGTTAATATGGTCTACAATGCAGCAGGCTGAGTTTCATCTCCAAAATATAAAATAAAATTGTTTTGACAGCACTCAAAAACGTTTTAATCAAATCAAAATTTTATAAAAATATTTCCTATCGATATGTATAGAAAATATTGCCATTTTTTCTTTTTAATTTAATTTTTACTTCCAACTGAAAGAGTATTTGTAAAAGATGTACTCATCAAAAACAACTTAATAAGCAAACTCAATAGTTTTATGCATAATAGATAGCATGCATTTCCTAAATTACTAAAAACACAACTTTCCAATAGTATTTCTCAAATATCAGAAATAATATTAATCACAACCTCACAATTTATTTTTCCCATGTTATAATTCATGAAACTTATATTGTTTTTACATGTGGAAGTTAGTGTGATTCAATTCTGTGGATGGAGAAAAGTATATATAGCTTTTCCAACAACAGTTTTGCCAGCTCTCCTCTGAATCTAGTGAAAATAAACACAGAGCCATGCATTTGATAATATACTTTTTAAAGCAGTAAGTCTGTCCGATTAATCACGTTCCATGTTGGCTTCTTTGGAATATGCACAGGTAAAAAAAAATGGTTTGAGCCATATGTTTGTTAAGCCACATAAACTTTTATCCTCCCTCAAACAAGCCCAGACTCTCAGCATATATCTCTGAAAAGGGAGAAAGGCCAACTTTGTTTTCTAATAGAGCTGTACCAAATAATTCTCCTAGGCTATCATGCTGACAACAAACAATAAAGAACCTGTCATAAAATAACATGTTTTTATGGTAGACTGCCAGGAAACCAAGCTTTGCAGTGGGATAAATGGCACCATCCTAAAATATTGGCACAAAGGAGAATAAAATATATGGAATTTATTGTTTTAAAATCAAACTAACAATGTATTACAGCAGTGCATTGGGAAAAAATATAAAATGCTCCGAGCCCACTAAATAACCATGAATGATGAGAAGATGTTTGAGATGTAGACCACGTGAACAGCTATATCACAAGCTTATGAAAACCTTTTGAAATTGGCTTTCTTTTTCAACTTACAAAAGAAGGGGACAAAAGATAGGATAGGCAGGTGGAAAATAGCAAACAAGTACCATATAAGTGACTCTTTTAGCATCAGTGATCTATCAAATGTTGTTTTCAATTGCATTTTTTATTATGAAGTTCCTTGGGCTACTTTTTGACATCTGATAATCCCTTTAGAAGGAATATTTTGCTTTTGGTTTATTTACTAAAGAAAAGCAAGGGTTGACTCTGAAAAAATTCTTCAATTAATGTAGAGTGTCAAAGATTAGAATGAATTCAATTCCATAAAGGAAAATGTAAAACTACACTTTTTCTTATTGTTTTTATGGTATTTTTGTGCTATTTCATTTTAATTTAAAATTTCTAACACAGTAATATTGAATATTTGCATCTCCAAATTGAGAGAATGGTGACCTATCAGTACAGTTCTTCTACCTCTCAGAATATGTACATACCACTATCCATCACTCTCTAAGTCCTCCAAGGGACAGGTAGTCATTGTTCATCTTCAGCAACTGTCAGCAGCTTCAGATTTCAACCAAATTGGTGAGAAGTCTAAGAAAATAGGCCATAAAATTAAAACAAGGGGCTAAGGACAACTCATGGACACACAGGCTTTGTCTGTGGGCTTCTATGAGTGTTTGACTACCTTCAGTTTTGAAAAATAAGGAACAATATGGGAACACTAACAAAGCTTGAAAATGGAAGAACTGATACACGTGGGAATTTCCAAACGAGTGCCCGTCTGTCTGGAGCATTGTACCTTGTCTTCTCCTGGATGATGTTTTCATCACCAGGACTCCTTTCAGACATCAAATCCCTTAAGAAACATCCCTGGCCCCCACTGTCATGCCTCCCTGCTCTTATCTGAGTGAGGAGATATTTTTTCTGTGTGTTTCTTGGCACGCAGCACTAGCCACTATCATGGTACTTATCATGCTGTATTGTGATGATCCTTTACTTGTCTCAACTCCTTATTCTCAATAGACTGAAGAAAAAGTCTGTGATTTATTTCTCTTTGTATACCCAATATTTACACATTCAATGAAAGTTTACTAGGTAAATAAGCAAGTTGGATTAATGTCTGAGGACATGTTTCATACTGTACAAACTTCCCACTTTTAAAAAATTTATTTGGTTTTTCCTGCAAAGTAAATTCTAAAGGCAAATCACAAATGCCTTTCAAAGTAAGAATAATGAGATTCTTTATAAGGAAAAACATGTGGTTGCATGCATTTTTCTTTATCCCAAAGGAAAGCTAGTTGGCATAGCAGAAGATAAGGTAGATTAGAAATGTTGTGCCTAACACTATTTCTTACAAGTTAATAGATCTGTGTGAGTTCACTTCCTCAGCTGAGAAATGGAGATAATGCTATCTGTACTTTCTATCTTCAAGATTGTTGCAAGAATCAAATAAGTTAATGGGAATAAAAGCATTTCAAAAACTTGAATTGGTATATTAAGCATATTAAGATGATGTTTTAAAAAAGTGTAAGTTGGCTTTTCTTACATAGTGTTCTAATTCCTTATCTTATATAAAATGAAGTTTGAGAAATATATTTTGGTGAGAAGTTTGAGCTTCACGTTGTCACTTCCAGTTGTTAAATGTGGACAGTATTGTTTTGGCTTATAACCTTGATCCAGTTTAGCTGCCATTGTCACTGTCACACTTCCGCCATCATCAGCCAGTATGGAATGTTAATGGGCGTTAGGCTCAAGTCTTTTTTGTGTTTCCTGATAAGGGAGTCAGAATTCAGTCTGAAGGAAGATACTTGTACATGCCTATTTCAAATATTTTTTAACATTGGCTATGGTATACTGATTTAGAAAAGCTTCTTGGTGGACCAGAAGCACCATGTAAAGCCAGCTGCCAGGTTTCTGGTTGCACTCCTGCATGTGGTAGAATAAAATAGAAAGTAATTGGTACTAACTTGTCTCCATTGTGATGAGTGAATAGAGTTGGCAGAAAAATCTACAATCAGCTCTGACATTATTGGCAAGGCTATAGGATAATGAAGTAATAGTAAAACTTCAGTTTACTGCTCTGGCAATAAGACAATTTAATAGCATCTTAGCTCACGGAATTTAGTGTTATAAAGACTTAAGTTTTTTTAATCCCATGAATAAATAAATAAATGTTTAAAATACTTGATTGATGTTTGTAATAGTGAGGAGGTAACCTAAAGTATCTTCCCCTTCACCCATGGCCCGGAAATGAACAGCTACTTGCAGAAATTCAGTATTGTCTGAGAACCTTTCCAGTGTCATTGCAAAGATCTTGCTGCACAGAATTTCAAGATGGCACAACAGTAGTCCAATCGGCTTTCTAACCCAGCCACTTGAGGTGTGATAACTCATTAAATGAAGAAATACTTTCTCAAGAGTCTACAAGCCAGAGAAGTAATATGGCAGTTACAAATTGCTTCCTGTCCATCACAGAATATAGAAATTTCACACTACCCTTCACACTAATCACAATTCATCCCTTGAAAACAAGTTATTTGAACAATTCCATTACTGAGATCCCTGATAACCTTTTATTCTTTGGAGACGTGCACAGAAACAATTTGAAATCATTGTATCACCCTGCTACACCCCATGATGTGGGTTTTGTGACTAGAATTTAACAGCTCCAAGCTAGTATGTGAGAAAGAGAGGTTGGCATCAATGGTTTATGTATTGAGCTCTAAATTCCTTTGTTTCCTTCAAAAGAACACTTGTCCTCTAAGATGCATTTTCTAAATTCCTATCACAGTATTACAAAACATCCTTTTAAAGCATTGCTCAGTTAAAGTATAACAATTCAAAATGATAGAACTATCTGGTCCTAGTTGGCACAATTATTGTGTCAATATATAATTCCTTACATTTATATCTGGGGATCTCTGCAGCAAAATCATGAACAGAGCTCTAAAATCCTTCACTTCCACCACACATCATGCAAGACCTACTTCTAAATAAATCCATATCATGCATCTATATAACTTTCATTCTTGTTGACCAGACATCTTATGGCTTTCTACCTTCATCTCTCACCACTCTGAAGATAGTATCTCACCCTCCTCTCTCTCTCTCCCTCTCTCTATCTCTCTCTCTCTCTCTCTCACACACACACACACACACTTTTTCATATATACATATCATCCAAATCAGTGAGTCCCTAGGCCTTTGAATGTGGTCTACTTATTCTCTTTTTTCCTTAATGGTGTTTCCCTCAGCTAGAATGTACTTTCTCCTCCCTTTTTGCCAATCCAAATCCTTTCATTTCAAAGTTCATTGCTTCCAAGAAGCATAGGATTCTTGACTAACTGAATCTGTCACCCACCTCAACCTTACTTTGAAGATTCTCATTAGTTATGTGTATACAATATGTGCCACATTAGTATGGCTTTCTTTCTAAGTTGCCTCAGAAAGACTCTGGGTGTGCTAGGTGGGTATGTAACACTTTTCAGCTTTAAGCTCCTCGAGACCAGAAGCTATCTACCTAAATTCCTCTGATTCCAAATTCCATCCAGGACAGGCTACACTCAGCTGATTATCAAAGATGCTTGAGATATTCATTTTTACCAATCTAGTTTTGCTTTAATCTGCCATAGTGTGTGGTTTTATACTTACTGGAACAGAAACTTGAGGATTATCTGCAAGTTTTCCCAGCACAGCAAAGCCATCGGTGTCAATTGGGCCTCTTGGCTTTATAGGTAAAGATTCAATCCTGTTGCAGTCAACAAAAAGAGTAGCACTACTCCTCTCCACGCCAATCATGATCTTATGCCACTGGGAATCAAACAAGGAGGGCAAATTCGAAAAGACTGCCGTTTGGAGACTTCCATCCAGTCCCTTGTATGAAAATGCAACAGATTGTGTTTGGCCATTAATCTTTATGCCAACTTGTTCCTTCCCAGAGGAATCCTGAATCTGCCAAATGTTCCAGTTCTTTTTGAGTGTGCTTCCAGTCATTCGAAACGTCGTCAAGAAGGAGTATTCTTCAGGCAGTCCACTGGGATATAAATTCCTGAGTAAAATTTTTAAATAGTAAATATGAATCTTGTTTCCTGTACCCATATGTATTTACCATATTCCCTTTTGAGGCTATTTCAGATGCCAGACCTACCGAAAGGCTGCAGTGTAAAAAACTATGTACCGTTTGTTCTTTCATGACTGTTCATAAAGACCTTTACAGAAGTTCAATCGTTCGTGTGCATTCATGGTCCATCTTAAAATACACATTTTAAAAACACTCTCCCTCATGGCTAAGGAAGGTTCCCAATGCCACATAATCCCAACAATATTACTATTTATACTACCCAAAGAGCTACTGTTCAGCAATTTCATCTCAGCCAAAAAATACATTCTTGCAAAGTTCTTGGCAACATTTCATTCACAAGTGAGAGAGGAGATCATCAGGAATGTAAATCAGCAGTACTAGCTTATGAAACGATTTAATTAAAGCAGCTAGCAGCTTCTAATTTTTTTTTATTTTAAAGTAACATGTTAAGATTATTTGTTATTTCCATAATTGCTTGGATATTCACTCCACAATTATATCCCAGACCCATATAAGTATTTTGAGAATCAGTAACTGAGGACTTCAGGAGCATCTTCACACTGAGCATGTTTGTCTTTTTTTAGGGAGTTCAAATTATGATGTTAAAGTAGCAGTTTGTCACACTGGATGTGTGACAAGGGAAAAGTGACCAATTCTTACTTCTCTCCTGCACCTTTATTGTTGTTTTTTTTTTTTTTTTTTTTTTTTTTTAGATGGAGTCTCACTTTATTGCCCAGGCTGGAGTGCAATGGCGCCATCTGAGCTCACTGCAACCTCCACCTTCCAAGTTCAAGCGATTCTCCTGCCTCCGCCTCCCAACTAGTTAGGATTACAGGTGCCCACCACCATGCCTAGCTTATTTTTTGTATTTTTAGTAGAGACAGGGTCTCACCATGTTGGTCAGGCTGGTCTCAAACTCTTGACCTCAGGTGATCCGCCTGCCTCAGCCTCCCAAAGTGCTGGGATTACAGGTGTGAGCCACTGCATCCGGCCCAGTTGTTCCTTAATCTGCCAACTAAGTCTGTATCATTGCTAACTCCTTTCCTGCTTTAAATGGCAGAATAAAACCAGTAGTATCCCTGAGGCATCTCTACCCTATACAGAGACTGTGGTCTGGACCTGCACCAGCTACCTGGATGGTCTTCTGCTGAAGCCAAGCTGCTAAAAGCTGAAGACTGAACTGTAAAAATCAGCATGTTAAATGTAAGCATCGTCTTTCAAGGACTTAAACATGTCTTTTTACATTTCCCCTTCTAAGCATAGAAAAATACGTAAGCAAGGAAGAAATGTTAGGCAAACTAAATGCTAATGAATTTTCTGTGCTAAACAATAAAAATTTTATATTTTTGAGAACAGTTATGGACCAGGACCCAGAATCCCAAATAACCTTCCTTCAAGTCAAATTCTTGTTATGTAGCCCTCTTTAATTTGCTAAGATCTTCTATCTTTACTATGATTTTAATTATAAAACTTTATTATGTCTTATAACAACATAAACAAATCTTCAACTTCTTTCTATGTAAGTATTTTTATAAGCCTTCAATAAAATGGGTCATCTATCTCAACAAATTTTATTGCTTTGTTAGTTTTCTAAAGATAACAAAAAGGTTAAACTTTTCATCTGAATACTCTTTCATCATAAAAGTATTTTTTTAACCATTACTTTGTAATATGACTGGTTTGTATTTAGGGTGCGGGATGAATTATTTTATCCATACACATTTTTTTCACTGGTGATGTGTATTATTCATATTGCAAAGTTTTCAGTTACTGCCTATGTTTTATAACCATCAAGTGTACATTTTAAAATATGCAATACGGAGCTAAAGAAAAAATTATACGAGAACCATTTACTGACTTTTTTTCCCCATATGAAACTGTCTACTACATCACTCCAGATATTTGTTTTTAATATATTTCCTGTTTATCTATCAGTTTGTCACATTTTCTTTGACTTTATATTTTTCAGAATTATATCTATTCCAGAATAACCTCTAGAAAAGAAGCTAAGATTCACTATTCACAAAAAATGCACTGAGTATTGTATAATTATAAAACCTTATGGAAGTTTGTACATCTTACCTAACTTACCTCAATAAATTTGGAGCTGGGAGATAGTTTTCAAGTTTCACTCAATTGTGAAATTGGGCAAGTGTCCATTTAAATTATAAATAGATTATTTTGATTATTATTTTTAATTAATGATTGGGATTTTACCAGATGCTTAAATAATTTATTTTCTTATTTTTGTCCAAGATAGTTATTGTTGAAGCATGAGGTTTTTTAAAAGGACAATAAAATCTAATGCTGCTTCTTCTCTTCCTTAAGCATTATTTTTCCAGGCTTCAAAAATAACCTAATCTGTGTTATCTATACATCTGTCTATAGATATACCGAACAAAACTGTAGAATATAATCAGTTCCCTTAAAAAATCTATTTTGTTTCAATTCTGGAAGTCCCAGTAATGTGTTCAGGTGACTCTTGTGAAAATACATCCTGGGGTTAACTGAGGGAGTTCTCCCAATTTGTGTTTCATTCAATCTTTCCTACTCAATGAAGAGATTATGTTAAAGGTAGGAAAGGACATAATGTCTTAATATATCTCTGACTTGGTGTATGTAATGCCAAAAACTAAAAAAAGAAAATAATTAATTTAAAATGATGGAGGGTAGGTTTGAGATGGCTAAATGAATACCTCATTTTTATAGCTACGTTGTTAAACTAATGGTATCTGTCTCTTTCTCTCCGTATATATGAAGATAATATATGTGTGTGAATATGTGTAGAAATAATCTAGATTATCTTGTTATTGATCTTTGATCTTTTAAACTAGGCTAGTATAGTATGTCAATATGGTAAGAAGAGAAAATTCATTTTGGTATTTATACTAATAAAACATATATGTATTTGTGTATACCTAAGACCACTTAAAAGTCTCACAAGTTTAATTTATGGAACAGTCAGTCCCATTGTCTTTCCTTGGAATACCTGAAATTCTGTTCTTGCAAACATGCTATGCACATCAGCAAGTAAACTTGACAGCATGCATAATTTAAAATAAGCTGTACCTATAAATGATTTATTTCATTATATTACAGCCTTCAAAGAGTACCTTAAATGAAGAATCATAAGGGTTTGAATGAAAGATTAAATAGTCTTTGGACCTTGAAACATTTATTTGTGACCTTAATCCAAGAAAAGACTGTGTTTTTAAGGAAAATAAACATAACATGTTTGTTAGCGGGAGTTGAGAGTGTAAAACTATTATGCCTAAAATAAGGAATAAAAAGCAGTAAAAAAAAAAAAAAAAAAAAAAAAAAAAAAAAAAAAAAGTATGTGTCTCTTAAGTCTTTCAAAAAATAGAAAAGATAAATAAGGATAAATTGTGACTCTTTCCCATCAGTTCCATATACCGTAATATTTTCCTCCTACAAAGATCCTGCTAATAGTTTATTTCACTGTCTGGGAGCCTATGTTCTCCAGCACAGAAAGTCCCTTTATACGAACATTGTCTATACCCTGCATGGCCGAGAGCAATTCCCATCCCTAGTCTCCTTGTCACCTGGCTTTTGAATTAGCAGGACTTGGAGGGCAGATTGTAAAGAAAGGATCCTCTAAGGAGGAAAGACTTCCATATACATGCATTCTCTACGTCTAGTGCTCTTCACCACTAATAATAAACACTTACCCAATACCAGCGTGGACTGGGTTCTTCAAGCACTCTCCAGTTATGAACACCTACTCTGCATAGCAACCTTATGACATAGTTATTATTCCTAATTTTAAATTGAGGGAACTGAAGTAAAGATAGTCTAAGTACTTTCCCAAGAATAAACTTTACTTGGAATTTCACATGTCTCAGTCCTCTAACTTTCCTCCTTCTCTTTTTATTCTCTACTTTCTTTTCCTAATTTCTTCCTCCTTCTTTCCTTATCTTGTAATAAGGCTTGACAGTAAAACAAGATTTTTCAGTCTTTATGGGAGCAGGGAGTCAAGGGTAGCAAATGTGAGGCATTAGATATAGCCTGGGTACACTATTTAGTGATAGCTCTAGGCATTTCGAGAAAAGCAACAACAAAGTTGAGCAGGAGGTAAGGAAGCCACGTGGCAGCACATTGATCAATCTCTGAACTTAAGATTTAATGACAGTACCTCAAATCTTAGAAGAGAAAATCAGGTCAGCACTGAGGACCTCATGTTTTGCTTAATTATTTGAGAAAGAAAAAACTGAATTTTTAAAGCTTATTTAGCAACACAACTGGCACTTCCATACATGAAAAGAAATTATGAGGAAAAAAACAGTGAGTGTCACTGTTATCATGTCCTTAATCTTTCCAGATGTGAATGGTTTTCCAGAGTCAGTATGGAGTAGTGGTTAGAAGTACAACCTTTGCAACCATTCTGCCTGGGATTCAGTCTTTCCAGCATGTTCCAACCCACTCACCTTATGCAAGTAAATTAAACTTTTGGGGATCCCTGATTTAAGAAAAAAAAGGTTAATAATGCCCCTATATCACAGGATTGTGATGAGAATGAGATTATTGTTAATTAATAAATTTATAGAAAGAGTTCATATAATGTACTATTATTGTATTATACAATAATATATAGTATGTTCAAAACATGAATTTCTAGCTGTAATCTGGTACTATTACATCAGATTGTTCTAATTTGTTCAAAATTTTTTTATATACATTGAGTTTCTATATTATTGTATTGATCTAATTAATCATTATTTACCTTTACACCTTAATTTCTATCGAAGTCCTAATTGTCTTATTTATCTACTAAAGGAATCTTAATTCTAGCTTTTTTACATTGTGCTAAAGCATATAATAATTATCATAATCATAAATAAGGTATTTAGGTGATATCAAAACTAAATTGCTGAGATTCATTCACAATGATGACAGGACTCAACACATACACTAAAGTACCTCAGTTATAAATAAAGAGCAAAAGGCTTAGTTCCAGAGAAAGAAATCAGTGAAGTGCAGGATTTGATGTTGTTAGTATTACTATCATTGTTTCTATTATAATTATTTTAGTTTTGCTTTGGTTTGATGTCTGCCAGGAGCCAAGCAGTGGACGTGTGGCTCTATTTCAGCACCAGGACACTTGAACAGCACCATTGTGAGTCTTCTAACCACTCTGTGGCTCCTAGTTAAATTTATGCTTACCCCCTGGCACTTTTCACAGAGGGTCCTTTCAGTCAAAACCAGACAAATTATAGAAAAACAGAAAGCAAGGTAATAAGAACATGTCCTGAATCAATGTATAATAGTCTCAGTGATGCTTTTTCCTGGAATGGAAAGTAAATTACATACTGAAAACATGAAATGCAGTATTCAGGCACTGAAGACAGGCAGGTAAATAAATTTCTTCATCTTTAAATACAATTATAATCCAAGAAACATTGATCATAAGAAAACCCTAACATTGGATAGCTATCCATTTTAATGCATTTGAGTCAGATAATTAGATTAAAATATTTTTGATAGATTACCTAGTTGGAATCCTGAAGTCTACATTTTTTCCCAACTTGTAAGCCACCTGCAATGTAGCTGATCCCACTACTCTCTGGATAGCTCTTCTAGATGCTGCTTTATCTACCTGGAACTGAGAGATCAGATCAAACCCTACAGAATGGGAATACAAAATGAAAAGTCTAAAATGAGATTGGTTTTATTCCTTTCCGCAACTTTCCCAAATAAAAAAAATATATATCAGGTTTATAGAAAGCCTGCATTTTCAATAGGCTACATTGCTACTCACCTGGTAAGTCATCTTGGCCAATCCTGATCTTAGGACAGAGTTCATTTTCACCATTAGAATTGGAATTGGCAGGGAATCCTGCAAAAGAGATAGCATGTCATTCTACTTCATCCACTCTAAAGATTTCAGGATTCATCAATAATAATAACTATTTAAAATTCAATATTATACCAGCTTGCTTAGAGGTAGCATGTTTGGCTTTACCTCCATGCATCTATGATTATAATCCATCCACCTGCAACTCATCCTGGAAGGAGTGGATGCAAGGCACAAAGTTTCTCTAATAATCTGTGCTGGAAAATGTTCGTTTTGGAGAGGTTAGGCATTTGTTCCTTTTGAAACCAAAGCTGAATGGTGTCCTGAATGGCACAGGGTCAGAAGTCTGTTTGGAAAATTTCTGGTGGTTTGGGCTAGAAAATATTCCTTAAACACCACAAATTTTAGGATTCCAATGAGATTCCAGAGCCAATCTTGGTCCAGTTCAGAGGGGCTTCTGGAGAGTAGAGTTCTTAGGAATCTTTGTCAGATATAGGGGCCGGGGGAAGTCTTGAGATTCACTAATCCTAAATAAAATATAGAGGATGCATTTGATTTCATAAATTCATTCTAAGAGATCAAATAAAGGTCCCTACTAAATTACTCCTAACATCTTAGAACTGGGAAGAGTAAAAAGAAGAAGAAAATAATCATGAGAAGGATTAAATCCTCAATTTGATAAGAAATCATAGAACGGAAATTGTGTTCTCCTTACACAAATGGAAGGTCAAGGGAAGAGTTTTTCACCACCACGGAAGGCTTCTTGGAAATATCCAACCTCAGTGCCTTGCTAAGATTCATCTGACAACAGAGACGCTCTAGACTTCAGAAAAAGTATTATTCACTTGCAAAGCATGGGCCTGGCACCATGCCTGTAATCCTAGCACTTTGGGAGGCTGAGGCAGGCGGATCACCTGAGGTCCGAAGTTCAAGACCAGCCTGACCAACATGGTGAAAGCCCGTCTCTACTAAAAATATAAAAAATTAGCCAGGCATGGTGGCACATGCCTGCAGTCCCAGCTATTCGGGAGGCTGAGGTAGAAGAATCACTTGAACCTGGGAGGCAGAGGTTGCAGTGAGCCGAGATCATGTCACTGCATTCCAGCCTAGGTGACAGAGTGAGACTTTATCTCAAAAAAATAAAAATAAAAATGCAAAAAGCATGGGCCTAACCATCATGGTACATCAAACATGCTCCTTATACTGTCCTCACCCCAAATTGTTGAGGTCCATTCATCCATCAATCTATTTATTTATTCATCCATGTATTCACCCAACATTTACCAATCACCATCTGTCCTAGGCACTGCACTAGGCACTGCAGCACACAGATTAGCCTTCCTGCCAACTGTGATTACTGGCAGGACTTACTTTCCATACCCAGCATTGACCATGGAAAACCAGCCAGTAGGGTATCCCCATGCCCCAAAGGTGGATCGAAGAGTGAGGGTGTGAAGGACCATGGATGCCTCACTCAGTCTTCAGTCAGCCACAACCCTATCTGATCATTTCTAGGAATAAGTAATCTTTGAAAGTCTAGGAACTATGGCCCTTACTGGGGCGACGCTTGACAGCTGCAGATGCCCAGGGCTCCAGGAAACTGCACACAAAGAAGAAAACTGGAATTTTCCTGAAGAAGAGAGAAGAAAAGTGACTCAAACAGGAGTCCCTGCAGATGGGAACTACTTCCATATTTTCAAACCTGGTAAACCTAATTAATATAAGGTGATCAAATCCCAGTATAGTTTATTTTTTTCTTTT